CCTGCAAATCCTGCAAATATCTTGAAAAATATCGCTGCAGAGAAATATCCTGACAAAATAATATAAAAAAATTGTTTTGTCATTCTGTATTTTTACTCAAGCGGCGGTAGAGCGGCGGGAACACTGTTGAAGCAAATGGGCGGAAACTATCATCCTTTAATATAGTAAATAGATTACACAGCCCACACACATGGGGTGGGGCCCACATTTTGTGTGGGGGCTGTGTAAGTTGCTGTGTACCAAGGCTGTACACGTAGCAAAGTTCTAAAAAAGGGCCTATGACCGTGTAAAACCTAAACCGGCCCATTCCTCATTTTTTAAACAATGGTATGCCCAAAATCATTTACAGCTTCTCTGATTCCCTCACTATTTGTTTTTGCTGCGCCGACGGACATAGTAAATGGTAAGCTACTTTGCACCTTAAAGCTTATTTGATAGAGATTAAAATCGGATTAAAATTAAAAAATTAGTCGTTATTATTGATTTTTATTAGACGAGTGGAACCCAATAACGACTATATTTTCAATTTTAATGGGATTAAAATCCCACTCAAACAAACTCTTAAATATTTTTCGACCAACACACATCCACATCCCGCCAATGTTAACCCGAACTTGAAAATCTCCAATTTACCCAACATTATAGAACGCGCCTTGGCGGCGACTGGAGGTGGCGACTTCTTGGGTTGTCGTCTAAAAATTTCGGGAGTCGGAGTGTATTTGTAGTAAATGGGAAAGGGGATTTGAGTTGGGCAAGAAAATAGAAAGGGTTGCTGTCTGTCCGGTTTTTGCCTATTTTTGTTTGCCGGCGAGGAGCACAGAAGTGTTGTTTATCAGTTCTGGTGGCGACCGAAGGGGGAGATTTTTTTGATTGTCGTCTGAAAATTTCGGGAGCTGGAGCGTATTCGTATGAACTGGGATGGAGGGTTTGAGTTGGGGAAGAAAATAGAATGGGTTGCTGTCGGTCCGGTTTTTGCCTGCTTTTTGTTTTTGTTTATTTTTTTTTCAACTTTCCACCTCAGCAGTGTAAGGTAAGCAAAAATTAACCATGTCTAAGAAAACTTCTAATCTATCAATCCCGCTGAATTCAATCTTTCAACACAAATTTTATTCAGTAACAATAATATATTAATTATATCATAAGTTCTTCAAATCTACCACCCCTTCCAGCTTCACTTCCACCCACTTCTCCTAATCTCCTCCACCTTGCCCCACCACCGCCAGCCACCACGAGAAGGAAATGGCAGAAGAAGAAGAAGGTGGTGGTTGACAGTGGGGCGTCAGAAGAGTAATGAACTTTTTTGTTGAAAGTATTGATAAGACACAAATTATTGAATAGGTTGTTGGTAGATGTAAAAAGAAACTGCAAGAAATAATTAGATACTGCATTTAAAAGAACACACATGCCAAACATGCACCAAGTAAAATCCGATAGAAATGAACCCCCCATGCATTCAAGAACAGCATGTTATATATCTTTTCAACCATAAGCAAA